GATGGCAGTGGGACCTTGGGCAAGTCACCTGTCCTTGCCATATCAACCTGGCCACCTCCCTGTTCAGGCCAGACCTGTTCTCAAGGGGGCTCTTATCCCATCTGCCTCCTGCCACTTGCCCCCTTCCAATCTCTCCTCCTGCTGTTGCCTATCACATCTCTCCTTCAGGTAATCTCCTCTCCTGCCTCCCAGTTTCCAGCACTGAGGGAGAGAGCATGAAGCCCCTTTCCAAGGCTGCCAGCCTGGGTGGTCCGGTTCTGGTGGACCTCTCTAGGCTTGCCTCATGCTTCATGCCAGCCACACTGGCCCTTGACCAGCTGTGTGCCTTGGGCAAGCCCCTCACCCTCTCTGAACTTCTAAACCCCATCTGTAAGATAGACAACATGAGAATCCCAATTGCTCTGCTTGTATGGAGGATAACAACACCTTGAAATAACTCTCAGCTCCTCGGGGGCCCTATTTCTCTGGAAGAAACCACAGATTTCAAAGATCCTGATGCTCAATAAACCTTTTCTTCTGCAAAAGAACAGCCTGCTTTTATTCCAAGCTCAGTTATTCCCAAAGAATGCTTTTTGTCTCAGTTATGTCTTGTTGTGTCTTCACCTAGGCCAACAGTGTCTACAGATGGAGAATACATGTATTTATGCCACTTCCTTAATAGGGGTTATGTTGTCACATTCATTATCATGCTTTATCTCTGTCATTGCTTTCTCTTGGGAAGAATGACCCACGTGTACAAATGCCATACTTTCTTACACACAGCCCTCCTATAGCCAGATTGCCACAGAAATATTTATTCTGGGAAGCCAGGGTCTGACCCTAGTGATTAATATACTGGGGGATATTCTTGGGGAAATCCATTAATCATTTTTTTCAACACATTTTATTGATAAGTATGGAATAAGTAAGATGATGGGTAAATATAATGTATCCCACTGGGGGTACTTAGGGAAAACCCTTCCCTGATCCCACCATGGAGTGGGGCAGGTGTTTTTTTTTTTTTTGTTTAAAATCATTTTTTTTAATTTTAATTTTATTTTTTATAAACATATAATATATTTTTATCCCCAGGGATACAGGCCAGGTTTACACACTTCACAGCACTCACCATAGCACATACCCTCCCCAATGTCCATAACCCCACCCCCCCTCTCCCAACCCCCCTCCCCCCATCAACCCTCAGTTTGTTTTGTGAGATTAAGAGTCACTTATGGTTTGTCTCCCAATCCCATCTTGTTTCATTTACTCTTCTCCTACCCCCTTAACCCCCCATGTTGCATCTCCTCTCCCTCATATCAGGGAGATCATATGATAGTTGTCTTTCTCCGATTGACTTATTTCGCTAAGCATGATACCCTCTAGTTCCATCCATGTCGTCACAAATGGCAAGATTTCATTTCTTTTGATGGCTGGATAGTATTCCATTGTGTATATATATCACATCTTCTTTATCCATTCGTCTGTTGATGGACATCTAGGTTCTTTCCATAGTTTGGCTATTGTAGACATTGCTGCTATAAACATTCGGGTGCACGTGCCCCTTCGGATCACTACGTTTGTATCTTTCGGGTAAATACCCAGCAGTGCAATTGCTGGGTCATAGGGTAGTTCTATTTTCAACATTTTGAGGAACCTCCATGCTGTTTTCCAGAGTGGTTGCACCAGCTTGCATTCCCACCAACAGTGTAGGAGGGTTCCCCTTTCTCCGCATCCTCGCCAGCATCTGTCATTTCCTGACTTGTTAATTTTAGCCATTCTGACTGGTGTGAGGTGCTATCTCATTGTGGTTTTGATTTGTATTTCCCTGATGCCGAGTGATATGGAGCACTTTTTCATGTGTCTGTTGGCCATCTGGATGTCTTCTTTGCAGAAATGTCTGTTCATGTCCTCTGCCCATTTCTTGATTGGATTATTTGTTCTTTGGGTGTTGAGTTTGCTAAGTTCTTTATAGATTTTGGACACTAGCCCTTTATCTGATAGGTCATTTGCAAATATCTTCTCCCATTCTGTCAGTTGTCTTTTGGTTTTGTTAACTGTTTCCTTTGCTGTGCAAAAGCTTTTGATCTTGATAAAATCCCAATAGTTCATTTTTGCCTTTGCTTCCCTTGCCTTTGGCGATGTTCCTAGGAAGAAGTTGCTGCGGCTGAGGGCAGGTGTGTTTTACCTCCTAGAATTAGGTTCTCAGATGGCATATATCATCAAATTCCAGAAAACCAGAAGGATGGAATCTCAGAGAGGAGATGATCTTGATCAACCCTCTCATTTTATATAGGGGGAAACTGAGGCCAGGGGAGAAAGTGAAGACTACTTAATTCTCACCTGAGTAGTTTGTAATTTGATCTGTAATTTGTGTGACGGAGACTATTAATTAAAGTGTTAAAAACAAGGCAACAGACCCAAAATGGAGTTGCTTATGCTTAGCCCCACATTACCAAACTAAGATTCAGTTTCAGCTTACCCAGGGATGGATGGAATTTCAAACCAGTCAATCTGGAACCACCTGATCAGCACTAGCGAGAATCTGTCTGACAGACCCCTGCCTTCCCTATAGTGAAAGTAACCGGGCAATAACCAGTCACTTTGTTGTCAAGTGTAACTCCCATGTTCTGGGCTCCCTTCTACCTATAAAAATCTTTCATTTTGTAAAGCTCCTCAGAGCTTCTTTTTATCTAGTAGATGGGATACTGCCTGGTTCATGCATTGCTGAAAAAAGCCAGTAAGATCTTTAAATTTTATTCATTTGAATTTTGTTTTTTAAATGATATTATGGGGCAAGAAAAAGACAACTTTCATCTCTTCCCAGGGCTGCTGGAATTCCCAGGTCCATCCAGGAATGCTCACTCAACTAGAACCTTGGGACCAGGACGGAGTAATGGTCTGTCCCTGGGATGTCCTGGCACAGGGCTATAATTGTGGATTCAGGAAACCCAGTCCGTGACTAACTCAATTCTCTCCACATAATTAAAAGAGGGTGAAGGGAAATGTCAGGAGGAAGTATGCATTTAAATTTTAAACAGCCTTGTTCATTTTTGAATCCTCACCTTTTATGCCTTAATTCTTGGTCTCTGCAAATTACTTAAAAAAAAAACACACACACACACCTGATTTTAGAATAGAAAAGGAGTTAGGTATCAGAAGAAGATGTCTTTAACATTTTTTCTTCCTTTGGCATCATGTAGGATTTTAATTTTGAAGCATGACAAAGAGGCAGAAATGGCTTCGGGCCACAAAGGAACAGAATCAATTTAAGAGGAAGGTAGATTTTTTTCCTTTTCTTTTCTTGAGATCTTTCCCCTAAAACTACCTAAAGAATGAAGTCCTCTGCCAGTGCTGATTAGAACAGAAGGCATTTCTCATTCCTTAGGAATGGGTATAGGAATAAAATGATTTACTTGAATTCACTGCTAAATCCAGTATATCAAGCTCAGGGGAGGGGAAAAATAAGCGTTGAAATTAACCTGATGTTTGGGAAACGTCAGTTAAATGCTTTTGCAACTTCATCACCATCTACTCAGGGGAAAACACCGCTGTCCAAGCTTCCCGTTTGCCTGAGAGTCAGGAGCTTCCAAACCAAGAAAGGAAGAAACCAAGCGGGTTATTTATGAGCTCCCTCCCTCTTGCAGTTTTAAGCCACTGTGAAAGAACCCTGTTTATTACCGTTCTGGGGCGAACGCTGGGCGAGTTAACCCTGCTCTGCGGGGTCGGCGGGGCCTGCGCTCCGCGCCTCCCAGCGGACTCGTGTGGTGGTGCAGCCCCAGCCCCAGGCTGCAGAAAAGCGGGGTACCAGCAGACAGCGCCGCATCCTGACGCTGTCAGAGCGCATAGCCTCGGCAGCGCTCCGAGCACGCCTTCTGTCCCTATCCAGTGACCAGTTAGGTGCGGGCGAGGGGATTCCAGCTGAGGCTTCAGAGTCCGGGACCTCAGGATAGTATCAGACTGGGTTCCGCCAGCAGCCATCCCAACCTGGCCCGGAAGCGCACGCGTCTTCGGAGCTGTCCTCGGCGGTGCACTTTCCCCAGGGAGCCAACTTTAGGCCAGCTCGAGGACTGGGTGCAGGTAGCTGGGTCTTGCGCACGGGTAGACGGGTTGGTTGGGGCTGGAGGAGCCATTGGAACCCGAGTGGAGGTGGTGGGGTGCCTCGCGCCCCTGGTACCTGGAGACGCGCCCCGTGCTCTGACGGCAAAGAGACCGCTCAGGCTCAAGATGCATAGCCCTAAACTGTGGAGGGCTAAGGCAGCGTTGGCTTCCTGAGACTGCTGAGCTGGGGAGGATCCTTATGAGAGGGGTACCCGGAACAGCATTTGGGAGCCCTGGGGGTAGGTATTCAGACAGGAGTTCTTCCAGGAGGGGCCTCTGGATTGGGGACCCACCGAAGGAGTTGTTGTGGAAGTTCGGGGGTGAGAGGGGATGGCTAGACGTCTTAGAAATAGGAGGTTGAAGAGGGATGGTTCTGAGCTGGAGCTTCCCAAGCCAAGTGGCCCTTTGGGGGAATCTCCGAAGGAAGTAACTGGAGGAAGGAGAGATCTGGCGGAAGATCGATGTGCTGAGGGTCTGGAAGGTGGGGTGGGCGGCTAGTTTGGGGATCTCTGGGAGAGGTGGTCTGTTTAGGAGGCGCAATCCCGCAGGAAAGTGATTAGAACCTTTCCCTCTCCCTCAGTGTAAGTGATTTAAAATCTTAAGGAACCGGCAGTCTGGCAGATTCCCGCTCATTTCCAGTGGCTCAGAGGAGGTACCTCAAACGGGGATTTCCGGGGTGGCAGCTGAACCATCCCCAGGGCTGGCGGTTGTACCCCTAGTCCCAAATAATTTGGGGCTCCTGGGAAGGGTACAACTGAGTCGGATGTGCTTCGGGAGAGTAGTGCTTGGTCTTCACAGAGTCCTCTGGATTCGTTTCAGGCTCCGACCAGCAAATCGGTCCTTGGCGTCTCAGCGAGTGAAACCCGAGGAGCGCCTCTCACCCCCGCCACCCCCAGGCGCGCGGGATTACGCGTCCGGCCCCACCCCGCCGCACTACTCCTTAAAGGGCTTGAAGACCAGGGGCGCAGGGCGACCACGGCCATGGAGGGCGCGCTGGTGGCCAACTGGAGCGCCGAGGCGGTCAACGGCAGCGAGGCGCCTCAGGAAGCGGAGGGCAACCGCACCGCCGGGCCCCCGCAGCGCAACGAGGCCCTGGCGCGCGTGGAGGTGGCGGTGCTGTGCCTCATCCTCTTCCTGGCGCTGAGCGGCAATGCTTGCGTGCTACTGGCGCTGCGCACCACGCGCCACAAACACTCGCGCCTCTTCTTCTTCATGAAGCACCTGAGCATAGCCGACCTGGTGGTGGCCGTGTTCCAGGTGCTGCCGCAACTGCTGTGGGACATCACCTTCCGCTTCTACGGGCCCGACCTGCTGTGCCGCCTGGTCAAGTACCTGCAGGTGGTGGGCATGTTCGCCTCCACCTACCTGCTGCTGCTCATGTCTCTGGACCGCTGCCTGGCCATCTGCCAGCCGCTGCGGGCGCTGCGTCGCCGGGCGGACCGCCTGGCGGTGCTCGCCACGTGGCTGGGCTGCCTGGTGGCTAGCGCGCCGCAAGTGCACATCTTCTCGCTGCGCGAGGTGGCCGAAGGCGTCTTCGACTGCTGGGCCGTCTTCATCCAGCCCTGGGGGCCCAAGGCCTACATCACGTGGATCACACTCGCCGTCTACATCGTGCCTGTCATCGTGCTCGCCGCCTGCTACGGCCTCATCAGCTTCAAGATCTGGCAGAACTTGAGACTCAAGACAGCGGCGGCGGCGGCGGCGGCAGCGGAGGCTGCAGAGGGGCCGGAGGGCGGGGCGGCGGGCAGCGCGGGGCGCGCGGCTCTGGCACGCGTTAGCAGCGTCAAGCTCATCTCCAAGGCCAAGATCCGCACCGTTAAGATGACCTTCATTATCGTGCTGGCCTTCATCGTGTGCTGGACGCCATTCTTCTTCGTGCAGATGTGGAGCGTCTGGGATGCCAACGCGCCCAAGGAAGGTAGCGCTGGCTGGAAACCCGGAGGGAGCGCGGCGGGGCGGGGTCCTTGTCCTGCCTCTTCCACACTGACAGGTTTCTGGGGATCTCGTGCTGGGGATGTGGGTTTCGGAATCCTGCAGGGTTTGAGGCATGGCTCCATTATCCTTTGGCCAGGGGATTTGGGGCTTAACTTCCCTGAGCCTTGGCTTCCTCTTCTGTAAAACGGCCACGATGATGGAAGTACTGGCTCTCATGGGGGGATGAAATGAGAAAATGCACGCAAAGTCCTTAGCACAGTCCTTGGGCTACATATGGGGCATATGGTTCCTTATTATGAATGGTAAAACTGAGGTTCAAATGACTTTGCCACTTGGTTAGCAAGTGGTGGAAGTAACTTTCTTTCTTTCTTTTAATTTTATTTATTTATTTGACAGACAGAGATCACAAGTAGGCAGAGAGACAGGCAGAGAGAGGGGGGAAGCAGGCTTCTTGCTGAGCAGAGAGCCCAATGTGGGGCTCGATCCCAGGACCCTGGGATCATGACCTGAGCCAAAGGCAGAGCCTTTAACCCACTGAGCCACCCAGGTGCCCCTGGAAGTAACTTTTGAACCCTGGTCCAAGCCGAAGCTCTCGCCACTTGAAATTTACTTTATGTTGAACTTCCCCTTTAAGTTCAAATCAACCTGAACTCCTGGGTCTGGTCTGGATGAGGACTGTGGTAGGTGGGCTATTTGATTTGTCCAGCTTAAGGCTGAGTACTTGAGTAGTCGCTGAGTACTTGAGTAGTCGTAGGAGGGCGGGGCATTGTGGGGAAGTAAGGTCTAAGGTCGAGTCTCTGAACCCCTGGCTTGTTGGAGGCGGAGAGTCTCCAAAGGCAGAGAGGTGAGTGCCTGGTTGGGGGTGGGGGGAGTGGGGAGCAGGGAACTGGCGGTGCCTTGTGCCAGAGACGTTGGTGGTGCTGGGGGGGGGGGGGGGGGGGGGTGGGAAAAGGATGGGAGCCTCCCTGCAAAGATGCAAATTTTCGGATTTGACCTGGTAGGCTGGGGGATTTCTGTAGGGAGGGAATGAGCTCTCCAGATGGGAGGACTGTGGAGGTCTGGGCTGAGGGTGGTAAGGGGAAGTACGGTGGGGCGTAGAATGGAGTGATATGTGGGGAGGGAGCTTGGGGGAGCAGAGAGCGCCTTGGGTCCTGGGGCTTGTGGCCAGCTTTGGGTTGCTGGGAGCTCCAGACAGCTTCACCTTCATTGCACACAATTCCAATAGCTCATCTGCAAAGAGCAGGAGGGATGATCAGTGGTGGTGAATGACTTACACATTTTGTTTGCCGGTAAGCCCATAGCACTGCACTGGGATGCAGGTGACTCTAGCGATTGTAAGAGTACAGCAAGGGGTTTGCTTTAGACCCTTTTTGCAGAAATGTCCCATTTCTAAATATGATCACTCCTGCTCCCAGAAGTCTAAAATACAACCATCCCGTGGAAGCCGAAATCTCCCTTCGTTCAGCTGGATAATTTTCCTTTGCTGTCTTTCAGAAACCACAGACTCCTGGCGTTACCCAGCCCTGCTTCGTAATCCAGCATTTTTCTTAGCAGCCAGGACAGTTATCATTGAGCACATAGGGGGCACCTGTGGTGCTACAGGCTGGGGCAGTGGGGAGGGGAGGACTGCCGGGCAGACACAGCAGAGCCAGTCTGGCTCCATTGTGCAGCCCCTGGTCACAGTTTACAGAAAGGGTTCAGTGGTCCAGGGTGGGGAAGGTGCTTTCTCCCGGTCAAACTGTCAGTCAGAGGCAGACTGGAACGGGCGGGTGTGGGAGGGAGGGTTCCTGCTCCACCTCAGCTCTTTCCACCTGTGCCAGCCTTCTGATGAAGGACACAGAACTAGGGAGTGGGCCCAGCCAAAGGCACCAGTGGGTGTTTCTCATTAAGGCATCAGACTACATCTGTTTCCTGGGCGGGAGCCAAAGAAATACCAGACCTGGGCCTTGAGGAGCTCAAACCCCAGTCCTTGAGGAAGTGAGACTGATACTGAGCAGATTCTGGAGATGCCTACTGGGGAGCCCTCCCTCTAGCCCTCACTAGTGTGGGACTTTGGGTGAGGGGTCCCCTTCTCTCCCTTGGCTGTTAGTGTCTTGCTTTTAGAATGAGAACATTTCAGCGCTCATTCATTTCCCTCTTTCCTTCCCCTGGCTTCTCCCATTCATTTTTCTTCCTGGTGAGTTTTTCTCCCTCCCTTTTCCCCCCCACCCCCCTTCATATGGCTTCTTGTTGTCCACCCCTTTACCTGCTCTCCTCTTCCTATTTTCCTCCCTAAAAATGAGAATATATGGTCAACATATATCTTAGTTACTGAGTGAGGTTTCGATGTTTCCTGTGCTTTGAAAAGGCATCAGATAATGATACATGTCTTTGTCTTAAAAACAAAACACAAGAGGAGAGAGAATGAGGGAGCATCCGACTGAAGTGGGGGGCCAGAGGCCTTTTGTGTGCATGCTGTCCCCTGAGGATTTCCACGGTGGGGCCTTCTCTCCTGGTGGGGCCAGGCTCCTGCTCTCAGGCTCTAGGAGCAGAAAGAGAAACAGACTCTAGGAACCTCAGGTCTTCCCTCTGTTCCTTGGCTTCTTTCCCAGTTCAGAGGAAAGGGTGGGTGCCATATGGAAAGCCCAGGGCCCCCTCATCCTTGGCCCTCTGTGTCCTGGGTGTTCCGAGAAGAGAACAAATGAAGACAGTGGGATTCATGATGCCTCCTTCCAGGACCGGGCACCCAGTCCCCATGTGAGGGCCTGTCCAGCATCGAGGACTTGGGCTCTGGCCACAAGCCCCGCCAAGCCGTGCCACGGCCTCAGGGCAGCAGTGGGGGTCTGAGTGGACTTGGGCTCAGCTGGACTGCAAGCTCTGTGCCCACCTGGCATTAATTGGGATAATTGCAAGTAGCAGGCTGGGCCATCAGAAATAATGGTGTTTACAGTCAGTTTGGAGACATGACTGTCTGGAGGCCATCGGCAAGTGTTAAGGAACAAAACAAGGAGACACTTGAGCTATTCAAGGAATTATGATCAGCACCGTGGAAGGAATGCACAGCCCTCACTTTCCAAGATGAAGGGAATTGAGAAGAGATGCAAAATATCAAGATCCGGGCCCCTTGCTCTGCTCATCTCCTGGGGGGTAGAGGCTGGAAGTTCAGGAAGCCCACTGAGATCAGGCAGAAGTTCTTGCAGGAAGCCCAGGGGCAGGCAGGTATAGATAAAGGTGGATGGGGCACCTGGGTGGCTCAGTGGGTTAAGCCACTGCCTTCGGCTCAGGTCATGATCCCAGGGTCCTGGGATCGAGCCCCGCATTGGGCTCTCTGCTCAGCAGGAAGCCTGCTTCCCTCTCTCTCTCTGCCTGCCTCTCTGCCTACTTGTGATCTCTGTCTGTCAAATAAATAAATAAAATCTTTAAAAAAAAAATGTGGAGGGAGTGCGGCACATGTGGGATCTGTCCCTGCCAACAGCTTCGTTCTAATAACGTCTGAGGGAAGGAGAAGCTCCGAACCGAACCGTGGGCTGCCAGAGGGGTTGGAGAAGTCACACTGGCCTTTCAGCTGTCCATGTGGCCCTTTGCTGACCTCAAAACCCCCTACCTCTCTGAGGCTTTGTGCACCCTGACCTTCTCTGCAAGCCTAGGCGCTCCTTTCGAACCTCTCTCCTTTCATGGACTTCTTTCCCTCCTACGCCTGCGTTCACACCAAGCTCCGCCTTTAGGGGTTCAGAGCTCACCTTGCTCCAAAAGTAATGAGAGGTTGGCCACAAAGATTCAGGTACTGTGGCAAGACAAAGTAGATACAAGGAAACCTGGATGAAGGGGAGAAAGGGATAGGAAAATTATAATCATAGCAATAATAATAATAAAGGCTCTGTGTGTAGAGGTGAGCCGTGCATGGAGTTTCCTTTCTCTAAGAGCCAGAGCAAAGACAGAAACTCTCAATTTCAATATTTCCATTGTTCAGAAGAAAAAAGAGTGAGACAAGAGAAAAGGAAGAGGAGCACCGTGGTAATTACTACACTCCTTCCCACCCAAAGCCCAAAGCCACCATTGGAGCCCTGCGTTAATGAGGCTGGTGAGACCACAGGAGGAGGAGTGAGACCAGACACCCACGGCACGTGTGCACCAGCCCCACATGTATCTTGGCAAGCAAATTCCACTGTCAAAGATTCAGCGCTGACCTCTCCCCTTGAACTCAGTGCAATTTGCTTGGCTGCTGGCCCCCAGGATTCTGACCTGGGGTAGTTGGGAGGGAGGAAATGGAGAGGGGGCATGTCTGTATTTCCAGGGGTTCACTGATGCTGGTTGGATGTGGTGGGGGTGATTTTGAGTCTCCGGCTCTAGTTTTTGGTGAAATGCCTGGTCCTGTAGGCAGAGATGAGAGAGAAGCGGGGACAGGTTGACAGATGGGGCAGGTGTGCCACCCGTCCACACTGAACACTATTCGTGGCTCCTATCTGGTGCCTGGAAGCTAGGGGAGAAGCTTTTGAATTAAAAAATCTCACTAACACTTCATAGATGAGTCATATACAGAATAGTCCCCATTTTCTCTCAAACTGGCTGATTTCCATGGGAGCAAGAAAATGCCCAGAGAAGAAGGTGGGGACCTCCACTCCACAGAGACTGTGGAGGGACCTAGGGACCTGTCTGGTGGGCCAGCACAGTGGGCAGGCACTGTGGAATCCTGCGTGGTTTGTGCAGGGAAAGAAGCACGCGTCTGGCCTATTTGGAGCTTGCTCTGCCCTTTTCTCCTGTGTGTCCTTGAGCAAACCACTAGACCTCTTTGGGCCTTAGCTTCCTCCTGTATATAATCAAGGAAGCAAAGCCTACCTGTGGGGTTGTTAGGAGAATGACAGGGTGTGCCTCGAGGCACCTGGGGGCCACGTGATCAACATCACTCTTCTCCTCTTCCCCCATTCTACTTGTTAGGTTTTGTTTGCATTCTTGGGATGGACTCTGAGAATCTTGGCAGGTATTCCTGAGGAAGGAGATGGGCAT